CCTCGCCCCGGCACCGGGGCTGCGCCATCAGCGAGTACCTGCCCAGGGAAGGACCACCGCCGGTTCCCAACGCCGCCGCACGGGGCAGCTCGGTTCGCCCCGGGCACCGTCCCGGCCCCAGAGCGCGGAGGAAGCTGCTCCGTCAGCCACTGACCCGCCTGCTTTGGTAACAAGACGTAGGATTAGAGTTTTGCCCAGTCACTGAAGAGGTAGCTAATGCTCAGTCCGTGGATTATAGAATCTCAAAGGAGAGACGTCCATTCTGCCTTCTCAACCCTCAGCAAGTCAGGAGGGCCGACTATTCTCCCCTCCTTTTTTTAAAAAAAAATCAAGATTTAACGTGACTTTAGGATTCTTTCAGCAGTTTTCAGTATGCATCATATTCTGATTGTCCCTCCTTGCCTTTACGCCCCTCAATGACTCCAGAACCAAAATCAGCCCCACACAAATGAATTTTAAAGTTATTTCAACAAAAGTTCAGTGGCAGCTATCTTAAGTTTTGCAAAAAAAAAAACCAAACAAACAAACAAAAAAACCTAGGGGAGAAAAGGACTGACACTTCAATTTTATGAGTTACTAACTTGCAAAACATGTTTTCTAAAATGAAAATAAATTAAAGACTCATCCCTGATCTATACAGGAGGCTCTGCAGCTGCACCGTATGCTGCAGGAACACATGCTACACAAGCAACCACCACTCAGAAAAGTGGCGAGCCTAAACCTCTGGTAAACCTAAGAGTTCTACGATTTTCTTCTATATAAAATAAATAAATAAAATGCCAACATAAAAAAAATCCTAATATATTCAATGAGTTATTAAAATATTTTTGTAATAGTCTTCAGTTATTTTTAGAATATGCAGGAAGTTGTACAGCACATGAAGTTGTGAGACTATCCACTTACCAGCAAATAGTATTCTACACAATAACACACAGATTTTGATAACTGCCGTAGTCCTCATCTGAATATGCAGCATCAGCATCGACAACCAATGGATCTAGTCTTTCACTAATCGGAACACTGCAATGAAGACAACATTTTACATACATGGACAATTAAGTTCATCTTACTCTAGAATCAAGCTGCCTCTGTATATTCCATTTATAATAATTCTCACTCCATTTTAATCTGTAATTCCGAGAAGAAGCATTAGCCAGATTTTTCTTTTCTCATACCTCTTCTATACTCTTCACTTGCCTATTCCATATAGGGGCAAATCTTAGATGAACTCTACCACCAGTGCACTTTGCACCGTGCCATCTGTGTATTGCCCTTTTAGATCTCCAGTGTTTCTGGAGTCATGCAGCTGGCTCCTCCGTAAATCTTTTGGTCTGCACCCTTTTGCCAGGCCAAAAGCACAGACATCAGCAAGAAGTCACTTCTCATCCAACAGATGTGTCCATTTTCATTGAAGAAGCAGTCTTCTGCATTTCTGCTTTTTCCTATTTATTTCTGCCCTGGTCTCACCAAATGACCACAAGCAGCCTTTTAACTGAATAGCGAGCAGTCTCAGCCTTCTCAGACATTGACATCACCACAGCACAGGCTGGATTGAAAACCTATAGATCTTGACCAAATAATTTTTTTTTTTGTTTCTTAGGAAACCCCTTGTCTCTTCATATCAGCTTCAGGTCACCCACGGCTACTTCAACAAGCTGTATTCTCCTTGCAGTAACATTACAGCTTCATAATTCCACAAAAAAGAAAAAAAAAAAAAACAAACCACAAACCAACAACTTCCCAGATAGGCAAAGCTTTCAATACTGTCCATTTTTGCTGCCACTTTTCCTAGCATTTGTACAGTTTTATTCCTTTCTCTGGCAGAAGGCCATTTTCTTTATCATGTCCATATTCATATCTGGTTAGATTGTTCACTAGTCCCTTACAGCACGTTGACCTGGCTCTGCAAGCTCTTATTCTCCATTTCTATCTTCATTTTGACATTAGCACTATAATTTATTTTATTTCCATATAGTGAATAATATATTATCAAAATGTTTGAACAATACAGAAGATTCTGCTTGAAGACAGAATGCAAAGTGTCAGATGCAACTGTTATGGTCAGTTTTAGCTCAAAACGATTCTGAAAGCAGGTGGCTTTAAATGGAAAAACAGTTTTTCTTCCCATGCAAACCTATTTTCTGCCCCAGGAACCTGAACAATATTTTTTTAAAGTTCCAAATAGTTAGATTTTAGGTCTAAATGTATTTGCTACAACTTGAAAAATGTAATGCCCTGACTCAGTTTCCATTGCTTACTTCATAGCTGTCCATGTAATCATTCATGTAACAGTCAAGTACAGTAGTTTTAAGAACTCAATTGCAAAAACTGATTCACAGAATCACCTTGCTCTTCTACTTGAAAGTATGTTCTGCAACATTAACGCTTTTTATCGTCCATCAGTGTAATGTCTGCATAAGGAAATCCTGGCTTCTACACACACATAGCTGAAGATCAAGACCAACTTTTGATAATTACATACAAAACATTTTTTGCTCTAACACACCTTTGGTCATGCCTGTGTAGCATTTTTAACCATACAGTAGCAGCCTTTCACCCCCACCCCCTCACTCAAACATACAAACAGTACTACTTTAGGTAGGAAGCATAATCTCAGCCTCATGGCAAACCTTGTGGAAAAGAGCTGCATTGGAAGAAATACTTATTCCAAACACAAACAGCAGTTCTCTACTGAGGATCAGCCATTTGATTATTAGTCTATGCTACACTTCAATGTGATAAGAGTGCTGTTCTACTGGGAATGGTGTTCCTCAGATGGAGTAGTTTCTTTCAGCCTGATTGGGATGCGGATAATTCCATGGCACTTTTGAGAAGCAATATGGTATAATCCTGGAATCCCAATTAACATGCCATTCCCACTACATTTGATGTTTAAGGCGGTATACAAGAGGTATTGCTGAGTACATTAACCTATGGAAATTGTGCTACCTATACCTCATCCTAGGCTCTGTAAAACACTAATGGTCATGAACTATGCAGGTCACAGAAAAAAAAAAATCTTTGAATGTCCAAGAAATCAAAAAACTTTGTTGTTGATGTTCTTACGGCAGGCATTTTTGTTTCTGATTTCAAGTTAACTGACATGTATCTGTCTCCCTGGTAATAAGGGAGACAAGGAAAAAAAAAAAGGCCCCTAATAAGGGCCATAAGAACTAACAGGAAAAAAAAAAAAGGCAAAAAGCAAGCATGGAGTTGTTATTCATTGCAGCTTTTAAAACAGATTCTTTCACAGTGTCAAAAAGTGGTATTTCTCCGCTGCAGCTTTGCTCTAAAACCAACAACTGTTCTGGCTTACGTGATGCAAAATTTATGAAAGATGAATGATAATTTTTAGTTTTGAAGTGTTTTGTTTGTCTCAGTATATACACTGGTAAGTGCCCTTTAAAAATCCTAGGTATGACAGCATAAGAAATAGGTCATGCTTGCACTCCAGGCACTGGCCTCTCACATTCCAGAGCTGCAATTTATTCTCATTTTGAACAGTTCTATGCAATGATCAGCTAACCCTGCCAAATCATTTAGGGTTTTATCTTTTCATAATACATGTTGAGGTTAAAAACCCTGAGAGCTTTTAAGATAGCATCGATTGGCAGCAGAAGTTTCTTGAAATAGTTAGAAAGGGCAAAAAAGTGACAGAAAAATACTTCATTTCGACTGTAGGGGTCTAGGGGTAAGATCAGAGAAAGATAAATTTAAGAGGTAAGTTTAAAGGTAGCTATATGGAGTGCTTTGAGTTATCCAGTGCTTTAAAAAAAAAATAATCGGGTTTTCTCACAGACTTGTCCTCTTTGCTCTTTCCTCCATCTGCCCAGACACAAAGAGGCCTCTAACTGTACAGCAGATGGTTTACTTGCAGCCCACAGCAACAGTCTTTCAAAAGGTGTTAGTCTTGAGTCTCCTAATCAGAGAGAAATAAACAATTAACCCCATAATCCACAGTAGAGACGCAGACAGAAACCTGAAGGAAGATTGCTATTCACAGAAAATATCAAGACTAAGAATGATGGCTGAAGACCTGCCAGGTTTTGGAATCCAGCCTGCCATCCATCCGTAGCCTTTCGGGGCATACCACTAGCTTCGGTAAGAGCCCAAACCAACTGTGTGCTCCTCTGTGATACCTACAAAGGGCTGTTTTTAATTGCTTAATTGACGCAGGTACTATCATTCCTTAAACTGAGCACAGCCTGAGGCAGCTTCCCTGCATCCAGTACCTGGCTTGCATCAGCTTGCTGACAGACCTTACTGTCTGTCACAGCGCTACACGTGAATGAATCGAAGTCCACTGTTATGTCTTGAACGTTCCTTTCATTGGCATTGTCAAAGCTGTTTTTACCATGTAGCTGCTTAAGGTGTTTCCTCAGAACTGGTTTATGCGCAAAAACCATGTCACAGTAGTTACACTTATGGGGCTTGTCCCCGCTGTGCAGGTTGAGGTGGTCCTGTAAGGAACATTTCTGAGAGAACGTTTTCCCACAGATCTTACACTGGAATGGTTTGATGCCTGCGTGCACTCTCATGTGCCGGTGGAGGTTGCCTTTCTGAGTGAATGTCTTGCCACAGAGTAGACACATAAAGAGTTTGTGCATCTTTAAGTGATTAGCATAGTTTTCCAGATGCCGAAATACTCTCGTGCACTTTGGACACTGGTGGTGCCACTGGAGGCCTTTGTCTATACCGCGGTTGTTAGGCCCAAACATATCTTTAGAAGCCAGAATGATGTTATCACTGCCAGCATACGAAAGGGCATAGTTGTGGAGGTGGTTTTGCTCTATTTCACTTGCTCTGTTTTCAACAGTGGAGTTGATAAGAAAGTGTTGAGGCTCTGAGGAATGCAGTGCACTTTGTTCAGAAGAAATAAACTGGTTCTGATCCTTCTTATTCCTAACTTCTGCCACCTCTCCGATGGACTCCACCTTGATGATCTGGATATCGCTATCCTCCATGTCCATACTGTCTTCTGAAGGTTGAATACAAGGTGAATCTTGCTGCAGAGAGTCGTCGTCTCCTTGATGTTCCTTCAGCTCAGAGGAGTCACTTTGGCGTTCACACTCCTTGCTCTCCAACGGCTGCTTCGGTTTTATAAACTTCCAGAGGGCCTGCGTACATCGTTCAACAATGTGGCTCATCTGCAGAAAGCTTGCGGCAGTCAAGTAGTTTATCAGTTCCATTTCAGGAAACTCCAGAACGCCACTGTAACAGGATAGAAGCAGCTGCCTCCCCACTTCCGAACTCTGCAGTATAGAGATTTTTACATCTCTAGAGTCATTTAGCAAGAACTGATCTCTTAAAAAGGGGGAGCCAGCAGCAAATACAATTTTATGCCCATGAACTTCAATGTCATCTATATGGACCACAACATCACAAAATTTGTTTTCTTCCCTCAGTTTGTTCATTTTCTGTAACATTGAATCCCCATAACTGTCAAACTTGAAGTGAAGAATATCTGATCTTTCTGACATTTTGTCACACCTAAGGAAAAGCAGCAAGAAAGAAAAAACAAGTGAGAACTTTTTTGTTTTCTGAAATGCAACTTAGAAGGGTCTAAAGTAATATAAAGTGTGTGTTTAATCAGATGTTATGTTTTATCCTAGATAAATACTGAAGTCTCTTACAACTAAAAAAAAAAATTCAAGTTTACAACTCGCCTTACAATATATTTTACCTTTTTTAAATTTAATGCAGCTGGAATATAAAATAGAGGTGATATGACAGAAATTCTAAGCAGTATCCTAAAGAGTTAAGATGTTTTCCACCCTACTTGTTTGGAATTTAAAGGGAAACCACAGAAGTATTTTTAGCAGCCTTAGCTCTTGTTAGGCTTTTCTTCCACATTAAAACTCCTCAGAGATTTCGTCTTTACCAAATGACAATGAATTTCCTTTAGCTTTTGGTTCTTGATTTCCTTTAACGCTCAAATAGAAGAAATGAATTCAAGGTGAGGCAGAACCCGACATTTGCCAGACATACAAACATCCCTCTTAACCTTCTGCATCTATGCCATACTGCTCCTGAGAGTTACAGTCCAAGACCAGTGTCCTCTAGGACACTCCACAACTTGCAGGAATATTGATACAGGACACATCTCACTGGCAGTAACTGGGATTTCAACAAGCCAGTCTTTTAGCAGGAAGGATTATACAAGCTTTGCAAAATCTGCATCATTTTAGACTGTCTTTTAAGTTCTTTGCAGGGGTTGGTTTGCTGTGTGTTGTTTTGTTTTAAAAAATCATAGGAAAAAAATCTTCCATATGGCCCCTGTTTTGAATACCTGGGGCATGTAGGAAGTCTTGTTTCTGGTCATTGTCTTTGGAAGATCACTCCTCTAGGAGGTTTGTTCTTGTTTGATAGTATGTGGAATGAAAAACAGTGGATCTTCCATAAAACAAGTATCAATCTTTTGTCTTGCAACAGTTCTTTCAAGAATTTATAATATTGCACTGATTCTCGATGAAACACTGTTCATGCAATCCTGACAGAGGGCTGGGATTGCAGGAAGTGAAGAAATCACAGGAGACTAAATGATGCAAGATTTGGTGAGATAAAATAACAAAACAAAGCAAAACTTAACCTCACAAGTATTACAAACACCACATAAAGCTTGGAAGGAAGCTTTGAAGTTTATAGATAAAAGCAGATATTGCTCTCTAGGGGCATGAAACATCAGCTCAGTGTACACAACTGGAATGGAGCCATGCCCATTGTAAATGAAGGAAAACACAAGACAAGGGTTCAAAGAAGGAATTTTTAGAAGTATCTGCTAATAATCAGGGTTGTTTAAATTTGCTGATCAGACATAATTCAGGGATGTGACCTCCTCACTATTTGAGCCCATCAAGTGTATCCTCCAGTGTATGGCATGCGAAAATTAGAAAAGGATTTCAGAAGTCTTCAGAAACAAGGGACCACGGAAAGTTCAGAAACAGCGGTAGCATCATTCTGCAGCACAACCAGTTTGCTGAATCTACAGAAAGTAGAGCCCCCAGTGTCTTAGTCATCCTCCCTTCAGTGCTGCCCAACTCATCCCAATTTCTAGAGCAAAAAGTTTAATTTTATGAGGCAGTAGCCTTTGGCAAATATAAACAGTAGCAACAGATCATCATGAAGTATCTTCAGTGAATTTCAGGCATTATCAAACTGGGGTTTTTTGTTGCTTTCTCTAGGAAGTGATGAAACAAGCCTATTTCTGAGCCTGGTTTTTTTGCACATCGTTGGGATACTGCAAGAAACTGCCCATGCCAAGGTAACACTACATTGTGCTGTTAACCAGACCGGGCTACTCCAGCCCCTCGGCGTTCCTCAGGCAGATAGATTGCAAGAGTCGCATCGTGAGAAACTGAAAAGAGAAGTGACTCGCCTTCTCACATGTTCCTTTCCCACTAATACTGATCTCCAAGGGGAAAAAAAACAACCCATCAAGCGGATCCCCAGCCCTCCTTCTCGGGCGGGAGGCAGACCGAGCCCAACTTCGGGTTAGCCGCGACCCTCGGGGTCGAGCGGGGCTCTCCGCCCGGCATCTCCGCTCTGCTGTTACCGACCGCGGCCGGACACCGGCTCCCGCGCACGTACTTCCCCATAACCGGGAAAATGATGCCGCGGGACGGCTCAGCCGGGACCCTGCCCATCTTTTCGGAACAATGCCCAAAC